ACAATAGTAAACAATAAAATGATGACCACCCCACTTTCCATGGAAGAAATTTTAATTTTTCGTTAAGGTTAAAACATTTGCCCTTGTTGGTAAATGAGCTGAGAAAGTTGAACTCTAAAAATAATTCACAGTAAACAGATATAAATTTTAGTGAACTAGGTTGGGAAGACTTTAGAATTTTTGGATGTAAAGCAAGTCTTGTAGTTTCTAAGTTCAGAGGAGATAGAACATGTTGCTTCATTCTGATGCCTGAGCAGAGGCTGCGACAAGCTGGACAGTGCTGATTAAACTGCTATGTGAAGTTCAGATCTGCCCACAACTGATAACCGTGGCCAAATACAACAGCCGTCCAAATTCCCCCAGCCTTTTAAAACTTTATATAGATTTCTCTTTAATGAAGCAGTCTGTGATCAACTGTACCTTCTCCTGTAGCCTTTCAGCACTCACCTATGTACAGTACAGCAAGCAATTCAATAGATTGTACATGTTTCTATACCTCCACAATATCTGCCATGCACTCTTTACCTGAGTCTTTATCCAGTTTCCTCTATTTCCTAAAACTTGGTAAGGGCAAGGAACCCTGTCTCCTCTATTAATTCTCTCTCTAATCAGGGTTTCTATGATCAGAGCCAGTGAGCATTCTTGGAAGATGACAGAAGTGATAAGCAGAAGGTCAGAGGTCCATGTGTAAGGTCACAAGAGTGTAAGATTTTCTCATTATTCCCCTCTATCAATCCTGGGGAGATGCCCTGATATTTGTACTTATAATGGTAAGGAATGCTTAGAGGCTGGAGAATCTCAACCCCTTGGGACTGGGAGGACAAAGTGGGACTGAATTTAAAGTCAGCAGCTGACAGAGTAAAAGTCAGAGCACTGTCAGAACAACTATTGCCATGGGTTTCTCCTAACTGCAATGGCTGAAAACTCAGAGAACAGAAGGCTATTATCTATCAAACCTCTCCCCCGAGTGTCTCCTGTGGACTTCCACATTGCTACCCTGCTCTAAACACTATGGCTCTTATCCCCTTTTATTTTATTTCATTATCACCAGTCTTGCTGATCAGGCCATATCATTTCTTTGGTCACATGCTGGCACTTCAGATGATCCAAGAAATATTGATGTACTAAGAGAAGATAAACTACAACAGATGAGGAACAGAAGGGCATAGTGGTCATATTGACACGGATTTGCCTGTTTGTTTAAATATCTACCGGGCAAATGACTATGGAATCACACTTTACCTCTCCGAGACTTGTTTTCTTATATTAAAAAAAGGGGGTAATAATACCCGCTTTGCAGAATTTTCTAAAGATTAAAAATTGATGCAAATTAATTATGTCAGTATGTAAATTAACACATACTAGATACTCAATGGGCCCCTGGTGGCACAGTAGTTAAGAGCTGGGCTGCTAACCAAAAGGTTGGCAGTTCGAATCCACCAACCACTCCTAGGAAACCCTGTAGGGCAGTTCTACTCTGTTCTATGGGGTCGCTATGAGTCAGAATCACCTCAATAGCAATGGGTGTGGGCTGGTTAGATACTCAATAGATGGTGGTTCTTATTTCCTGGGTAAAGATCAAATAATGTC